TGGAGACAAGCAAGTAAAGGATATTTACGCAAACATATCATCTGCAGCACAAAAGATCCTCATCTCTGACAAGATAAACACACAATGTGACCAATGAGACTCTGGTAAGTGGACAGCATTCCTTCATTGGCTTTTGAACTTTCTCTGCTGCAGGCTGTTTCCGCTACTTCAAGACTACTATTGTTCCAGTGTGGTCATCAACAATGGCCTGGGTGTGTGTGTAGCTTGTCTGCAGCTCCACGCTCCTCTGATTCTTGTTTCGCCATCTGAACAGGCCTGAACGACACACCCCACGTCAGTATTGCTCTCCCACAAAGACCTGTGTGAGAGACCAAGACATCCACAACGCTCCACTGGCAAAGGACAATTCAATCCAAATAGAAGCTGTCATTTAAGTAATGCATGACCGCTAACCAACAAAATACAGTTTAATTTTGAGAGCTGAGGGAGAACAAAAACAGGTGGTTGTGTAATGCTTTTTTATATCTATATTTCTGCAATTAATTCACATTTTCACCACCTCACACTTTGCCGCTTTAATTCAGCTTCTTGGCAAGTAATGACCCAATTACCTCTACTCAACATGTTCACATAGGACAGCCAGTCACTGGGTTCAGCCCCACAGGTGTCCAGAGTACAAGCCTAGCAACATCAAAAGACATCTTTTATGATCTTTCTTATGGTCTACTAGATTTGCCTATTCTGTTTACCAGAGACGTCTTTCTCAATGCTAAACGAAGCATCTTCTAACAATGTACTGCAAGTCCAGCTGGCTAAAAAAACAACCTGCACAGGCCTTTGGTTTCACACAATAAGACATAGTTGTGTTGTTGTTGGTATTTCATAACTCTTTATGCTGTACTCTGCGTGACATATTGAGTCAGTTTAAGGACACTCAACTGAGTGCATTGCAAGAAAAAAAGGAAAGAAATGTGGTAAAGAGAGGGAGGTAAAAGTACAGGTTATGAGGCTAATTACATGTTTCAGGGACAGGCAAACATTTTCCCATGAAGAGCCATGAGAACTCATTTGTTGTAATATGGCCACTTTCAACAGATTGTTTGCAAAACTGCCTTCAACATGTTTACAGTATAAGTATGTGGTATTAAAGTGGCATACTCAAAACATATTGCAAGTATTGTATTAAATGTACATTACGCCGGGTCATTAGACAAAATACACAAACATTGTATATTAATGTAGTGCTTACTGTGGGTTTACTTTGTATTTGATAATATGTCGTTTTTTATTTGTGTGCTGGTGCATTCACAGTTTAGTTCCTCCTCACCCTGGCTGACATTATACTAATAGGTGTGCTAATGAATTTGGCTGGTAAGAAGACCTGCACACTTTAAGACTTCCTTGGCATATGGCTGCTCATCTTTGCTCCAGACAGTAATGAATAGCAGTTTAACACTCCAACTGCGCTACCCAGCAGAAAAACAATGCACATCCGATTGTTTACAGCATCTCATTTGTGTCCAAGGCCTAGGCCGTGCTGTTCATCCTGCATCTGCACCTCAGGCCTATCAGTCTGAGGGGACTACCCTCCCCCCTGCTGCGTCCACTCCTTGTCCAGTGTTCCTGGAAGACCGCAGAGGAGTAATCAATGAGTCATGTGTCCTGATTACAACCAACTCCCTATGGGGCATCTTCAAAGGGCTCCAGAGGAGAGGGAGTGAGGGAGCATTGCCCTCCATGGGGTAATTACAAGTTTGGGCTCCATAGTTTCTGCTCCTTTTTCTGTGGGGAGTCAGGCTTAAAGACAGACCAGTTAACAATTCAGCCAGTCCTGTTAGCGCAGTGGGAGGCGCTTTCAACCAAAGATCACCGACTGGTGGGGCATGCCATCCAAAATTATACAAATCCCCCCTTATGCTCACACAAAAACACATGCTGTAGCACACTGCTTAATATGAGATTAACAAATGAGGTGACCACTGAAAAAGACAAAACTAAGGGGAAATTACATCTTCAAGGTTGGTGCAGCTGAGTACATGCCTGCCTGCCTGTCCCAGGGAAACAAGCTGAGTGTTTATGAGTTAAAAGGGCCATAAAACTAGACAAACACAATTAAGCACTGTCTGTCTGGATGCCTCCTGTTTCTCTCCACTACTTCCACCTTTGGCTTGTCCAAAAATGCTCGCACATTTCTTTCCTCAATAAAGTCTTCATTTGCTTAGATTGGAATACCAAATCACGTGATTGTTTTGCTTGTTATTGTATATCATACTATCTCAGGACTGAATGAAGCAAGCAAAACCAGTTCTCCAAACAGCAGACGTCATCATGGTTTTAATGTTGATATAGTCAGTTTGTTTTTTCCAGTTTCGTAACTGTCAGCACTGCAACTGAAAAGGCAATAGAGTTGTAATTAATGTGATTACAGTTTGATCAACTGAATCCAGTGTAATGCATCTGTTGTCTATTTAGATGTGATCCCTTATTATCATTATGACTGTGAAATTAAGGTTAATTAGTGTTTAAAGTGATGACTACATGGAAAGTTCACCAAGAGGAGTGGTAGCATGGAGACAGTGTGGCTGCTGGTGTCTTTGGGTTAAGACTCCAGTAAACCCTGTCTGCACGGGAGCAGAGAGAGAGAGAGAGAGAGAGAGAGAGAGAGAGAGAGAGAGAGAGAGAGAGAGAGAGAGAGAGAGAGAGAGAGAGCAGATCAGAGACAAAACAGTCATTAGCTTCCTGTAATGATGGAGAATAATACAGCAAGTGTGTGTGCGTGTGTTGTGTGTGTGTGTGTGTGTGTGTGTGTGTGTGTGTGTGTGTGTGTGTGTGTGTGGTGTGTGTGTGTGTGTGTTGTGTGTGTGTGTGTGTGTGTGTGTGTGTGTGTGTGTGTGTGTGTGTGTGTGTGTGTGTGTGTGTGTGTGTGGTGTGTGTGTGTGTGTGTGTGTGTGTGTGTGTGTGTGTGTGTGTGTGTATTCGACTGAATAAAACCTGGGTTATGAGTGTCAATTGGGGGGGGGGATTCCCATGCAGACTCTTTAGGTTGTAGGTCTTCCAAATTAAAGTCCCCATTAAGAGACAAGGCACACAAAGCAGTTGTGCTGCTTGCATATTGTTGGCAATAAAATACGTTATTCTGCTGTTCTGCACTCATACACATTGGTGCATGTGTACAAATAAACACCAAGAAAGGTTCAGATTAATATGTTATCCTTTCAATATATACATCTATGAGTGTATTTTTTTTACTTTGTTTGAAAAACATTAAAATATGTATTTACATTTGTTATACTTCATCGGAATAAATAGTTGATTGATCTATTTGAAAACACATTCCAAGGTATCTGGTCATTGCAACGCAATCCTATATTTGAACATATCCATGTACATGTGGTGTAGGGCTGCATGCTTCACATTTAGTATAAAATGTAACACAACCAAGAAGAATCCATTATCAGCTACTGCCCTCTTGTGGACAAACCCTAAAAATACCACAGTCATTTTGCCCTCCCCTAGTGCTCTCTAGGGTTTGATTGATTGATTGAAAAGTTTATTAACAGCTTGTATATTGGGTACAGTACAGTACAGCTCAAAACATACAATTGTTAAGGGGATGCAGACCAGAGAAAGACTTTCGTCTTAGACTTGTTTACATCAGGGTCCCCCATTTCCAATTCATCATGTCCATTTCCAATTCATCATGAAGTATGGATATTTTATATTGGTATAGCAATATTTAATACTCAGACTTTGTATTTTATTACATGTGATACATTGTATATTAATAAGGGCTGTTTTGTGACCTGTAGTCAACTAACAAATCAAATGTGTAGCAGTTTGTAAATGCATTCATTCAAATGTATGCAATAATTATGTGAGCTCAATAGAAGCAGTACAAAAATATAGTTTATTTTTCATTATATGCTATCTACATATATATATTCTGAGATAAAATGTCAAGGTAAAGAATGTGTCTAATTTTAAATACAGTATTACATTAGGCTTTCTTAAAAGCACTTATTTTGAAAACAAACTGGTAAAAAAAAACACAATAAGGAAAGAACCTTAAAATATTGTGAACCCAATGTTCAGTCATTTATAGGCCTACTGGTGGTCTGCTACTCTGCTTATAATTGGTTCAATACAAAGGTTGCTAAATTCGCACATTTACTTGTTATGTTATTGAAGTTATTAGGGCTTAAAATAACCGACTCTATTTCTTTCTTCCATTAATTGTTTAAGCTTCTACTGAACTTCAACAGTTATACAGAAGCAATACATTGTGCTTTAAAGTACGTTTATTATATTATATTATAACGGTAGTACCAGAGGTTAATCTCATTGCTTGTCTAAACAATGTCCATCATGCGCGCCTCTAAATCCTTATACTGAGTCACTTAGCTGTTATACCTGACCACTCAATGGAAACCCACTCTCTCCCAGTAGGGTATGATATTTCGGTGTGTCTGACGGCCCGTGAATGCAGCATCACACCCTAATTTTTCCCAACATCCGGGACCTTTGAAGCCGCTAGTGTGTGTGTAAACTAGGTGAGGAGGGCAGTGGAGAGCGGTGGAAAGGCGGACTGATGACAGCTGTCAGTGTGGACAAAAACACTACTAATCTCTGACGAGAAGCCGAATGGCTCGCCCCTAAACCTCCAGGAGAAAAGGGACAACTCCTTGGCAGTATCGCGGGTTATTTAAAGGTGTCGCGAAGGTAACGTTATATTTTTGGGATAGGGAATAAGACGGGAGTATCAGTGCCAGTTTGCCCTGTCTGCCTCTCAGGAGAGTCGAGGTTAGCCCCACTGGCTATCCAAGCTAACTCCCAAGCTAAAGTGGTCAGCTAGCCTAGCCTTGACTCCCAGAGATTGTGTTCGGTGCTGGGGGTCATTGCTGTAGAAAGGACATGTGTGGATCCATGGTGTGGATATGTCTCGTTTTTGCTAAGCGCTAGCTTCAGCGGTAGCGGAGGAAGAACCTAGAAGGGTAGCGAACTTTTAAATGAGGGTTTTGTTAAGATGAAATGCTAGTTAGCACTCTTAGTTAGCTTACCATTGAACTGGCTAATTCTAGTCAACGTTAACGTCAGTATAATTAGCTATTGTTAGCTAAGGCTAACAGGGCATAAACCTTACTTTGGCGTAACTTTGCTAGCTAAGGTGAGTATATTACTATCCGTTTACCCTAATGGACATGGGACTGTACTGGAAGCTTTGGGAATGTTTGGAAAACCGACCGCGTAAGCGCCAATGACTCATAAAGTTAACCATAGCTGAAGTTGAATGATTAACGTTAACTAATAGTTACGCATCAACCTGTTTTGAATTGACAAAGGATTATCCGTATTCATTTGTTTGTTAGCCAGCGTTTCTGAAGGGGTCACACTGGTTATTTTGAGCTATGGATCCAAGGGTTTCAGATCATCAGACGTCTTCAAGGAGTGCTCATGCTTCGCTTGGGTCCTCTGACTCAGCTGGGTCTCAAACTAGGCGTTTTCCCCCTGTCTTTACCAGCCAGCCGCGGTGCTCTTTTGTCTGGGTGATCTGCAAACTTTGATATTTCCTGAACGTCTATCAAATACATACCATGTGGATGATGCAGAATACTATAATACCATCTAATGATAATCAGGTTTCAGATCAGTTAAAAATGTATAGCTTAATGTTCTTATACGATCCTTAGACCTCATTACCTGTTGTTTAACGTAATGCTATGTTTGCTATAAAGCTGCAGTTGTTCTGCATGCCATTTAAAGATTGGTTGATGTCAGCCATAACTGATCCAAAGCTATGTAAGAGCCATTCATAAGTGTGGTTGCTTGAATGGAAACAAGAGATGGGTAGTGTGTTGGTTGTTAGAGAGATCAGAGTGCATACAACCGTACACAATAAAATGTTGAAACTGGAGAATGGACCTGTGCTATTATGTTCGTTCACACATGGCTTTGTTTAAGTACCATTCATAAGTGTTCTTTGTGTTTCTTGTTTATCCTCGTAGGTGAAAACACACAGTTCTGTGTATCTTCTGGACTTACACGTCATCGCTGGAGCTATAGTTGCAGGCAACATGGGGACACAAGGCTCTGGTAGAAAGCGTGCTCCACTGAAAGACCGCTTCTCAGCAGAAGATGAAGCCTTGAGTAGCATAGCCCGGGAGGTAAGAACAAACTGCATCACATGTCTTTCCATTTTGGAGCAAAGTACACTGGATCTAGGCCATATTCTTCATCATTGTTCTATTCATGCATTGCTTAATCCATGCGAATATGATTTTCTAACTCATTGTCTTGATTATACTCATTTAGATAATGGTTTAGGCATATGTAGAGGAATGATTTGTCAGTCTCAGATGGCCTTCATTTGTTCAGCAGCATCATCATATTTTTAACAAAAGGGAACATGGCTACTAGATTATTGGAACCATTATGTGCACTCAGGGTTGGCTGACACTGCACTGTGGATGGAAGAGAAACCTTTTAAGATCAAATCTATGTGGAATGTATTTCCAAAGATAGATATGTATATGTAGGCTGTTTCCGGGTGCATCGATAGTCCATGTTGTGTCATTACCTTAACCAAAAGAGTGCTTTGGTGAGTGTTATACTATTTAATTGTGTCACGTTTTTCTTGAAATGTATGAAATTGTCATATTCGTAGATAGAGAAAACTATCCAAATAGATTTTGAGCATTTAACTTAGAATACTTTACAGTTTATTAGGATTTTTCTTTCAGACTTGTTGCTTTTGAGCACACATGGATTATTTCTTAAACAGGGAGCAGGTTAGGAATGACATACAAAGTATAACCTAGTAGATATGTCAACACCCATGTTAAGTGAGACAGAAACAGGTATTTATTACGCTATCAATTATGTTGATGTGTAACGTGGTCAAAGTTGGGTCAGTGGGCTTTGGAAAGCTGCTTAAATGTGGATATTCAGGTCCTGTTGGATCATTTGAGTTTCAGCCAAAGTGAGTAGAGACAGCTGGTTTGGACCAGAGAGAGACTGACTTAACTTGTAGTGTTTTGGTTTGGGGGGGAAAAACACTGGCAGAGCAGAGAAGCAACCTAGCCTGTAACGACATGCCCTGGGATTATTCCATTTAGTCAAACCGCAGGGCTGCCATTCCTTTGCCTTTCTTTCAGAGTGAGTTCACTAACATCATGAAATGGAAAGCTCAGTTTTCAGAGTGTAATGACCTTTATGCTAGTGAGGTGAAAAAGCCACCTTGTTTGAAAACTTTAGATTTTTCAAATAAAACACTGGTTAAAACTTGAAATGCATTCATATTTGCACTAAGAATGCTTGATCCATCCACTAAGCACAAGGCTCCATTTGCTCTCTTTATAGTCATGCAGGCCAATCATAGAAACATGAGTCATCTGACCCTCCCAGTCAGGTCCTAAATGTGAATCTCTTTGTGGAGCGAAGAAAGATTAGATCAACTGTTCAGGGAGTTCATTGGGTCAGTGTCTAACGTGTTGCCAATCAAAACACTCCAAAACAAACATTCAAATCACAGCAGCCTTGTGTTGTCCGTTGCTGTTTAAGAAACAAGGCTCAAGCCTGCCTGTGCTTGGCACGGATCACTGCTGAGAATGACTGTGAATTTGAGCCTGCACCGTCACCAGCCCTCTCAGTTCTGAGGCCTCTTACATTACTGGGAGTCAAACCCTTTGAATACCAGCAGCTTGCTAAGAAATATTACAGTGTTGAAACTAGATGAACATCTCATACCTGTCGCCCAACTGATTAGGATCTAAGGGAAGCGCCATCGGCAATCATTGAAGCAATCATTGACTCACTTCAGTATACAGAGGGTGTGTGTGGAAGCTATAGTTCATAGTTCATATTCTCCTATTTGTGATATCAACAGGTCATTATTGCAATGGAGAGTGAAACACTTTCATTTCCGTGTACGGTTAGGACACTGTTCAGACTTCAGAAAACAAAGCAGCTATGTAAGCTTCCTTCTGCAAATGATGGACAAGGACTATCACATTGTCCTGACTTCCTTCCTTGATAATGCAAGCTTTCTAACGGTATTTGGTTTTAGTTTTTTTTTATACATTTAAAGTGTATTTTTGTTGTTGTACTAAAAGCAAGCAATCGAGGACAGTCTAATGTCATTTTTATGTTGGACAAGGGACTCAAAGGTTAGTCAGTTACATATGTTGTTGGTCGAACGCACTTATTGTAAGTCGCTTTGGATAAAAGCGTCAGCTAAATGCAATGTAATGTAAAAAAAATGTAATAGTGTAGAGCAGGGGAGTGAACCTAGAGTGACTGCACTGGCCTTTATTTAAAGCTATCTATGTGTTTAAACAAATGTAATCAAATTATTAGGAGCCACTTTTACTAACTTTAATGCTGCGGTGCCTTTTTGGTGATCAGTATGTAGGGAAAGTTGAGTTGAATTGGCAATAAGCTGTGTCTAGTTATTGCTAGAGAGAATTCTGAGTTGATGTATTATTGAGGATCAAACACGTATCAAACACTTTCCACTGATATATCTATTGTAAGCTAGTTTCCTTTTTTCATTTGTAGAGCAATGAGCTCATACATACAGCAATAATGAAACTGATAATGCTTTTTCTTACTTACAATTTGTCCTTTTATTGGTTTGTAATGTTTGTTGAACACTGCACTTTTTGTTTCAGTTTTAAAATTGCAGTATACTGTTAAAATATTTGAATAGTTCCTTTTTCTGTTGATTACCTTTATCCTGAGGTCTTACTTTTTTAACCAACGTTCTTTTACTTACAGATATTAAACACCAAAATGGATGAATCCATACATGTCATTGGAGCTACCCTAACAAGGGTATAATTATGAATTGATCGTACTCTAAGTGCATACGCAATTCAGTGTTGGGAGGGTTCCAGGTGATCTCATGTTGGCTTTCTGGACTTTTATTGCTCAGAGTGCTGGAGGTGTGTGTGATGGTGAACTTCTGGTGCTCAGGTTACCCCTCCTAGCCCCATGATACGGCTGGGGGCCGGACGGTCCGGGCTATAGATAGGACGGAGACAGAGAGCTCAGCTGTGCTGCTGTGAGAGCGGGTCACACTGTCAGACAGCTCAACAGGTGCAGAGCACAGGGACAGCCGGCGCTCTTCCTCATGTGCTCCCTCTTCTTCAGACAGCTTTACTTCCCTTTTCACATTGTATAAAGTTTCATTGTATTTTTACATGCAGTTTGTTTTCTTATCTTATTCACACACAAAACGAATCACAATTATTTAATGATACAGTATTTCCTCTTTCATTCTTTCTCAGTGAAGAAAATGACATTTAAAATATGGGTTTTATTCTGTCATTTGAAAGTCATGGTTTCACATTTTTGGAAGGAAAGTTAAGTAAGATCAAAGTCTCATTCTAAAACAAGATGGATATTATAGATAACTAAAACTATATTCTGTCTTAGTGCATTCTGATCACTTCCTCCTCATGTTGATATCTTTCTAACTTAGCTTCAGTAACATGTTTGTCTGTTACTAAATAGTTTTTAACATTAACGAGGTTGAAAACTCCCTTTTACACAACACTAGGTGTTCAGGCAAAAAATAACATGAATTTGTGTGGTTGTTCCGCGTTATATAAAACAGTATTGCAGGCTAATATTGAAAGAGGAATAGTCTATAACCCACAGGCCTTCTATTCTGGCAGAGCAGAAATTGCTGGAATGCTGACAGTGTTTGTCTGCAGCGAGATACTGTACACACCACACGCTGTATTTATGGACTGTCTTTTAGTAAGCGATAAGGCTTCATGAGCAAGTGGGCCATTCTTTGTTGGTGGGATGTTCAGAATATGTAAGGAATGTAAATGGTAATACGGACGTAATGGAAGGTTTGTCTGCAGTCACCTGTGTGACTCCTCAGGGCTGTGTGGGAGCTCGCCTAAATTAGCCTTCTGTACTCTGTCAAATGAGCACTTGTTATATTCTGACTTGTCGCAGTCAAAAATATGTAGTCCCTATTGTCACAGGAGAGAGGATTGAGTTCACTTTGGCTTGTTTGTACTTCCTAATGTTAAGCTACTGTTGTTGCAAAATGGCCTCCATGTTTACCGACCCAGCATAACCACACTATTGTGACGCTTTGTTTTCTCTTGATCCTGTGCTTCTCTGTCAGTTTGTTTGTGCACTACTGGCATCTCCCCTGTGAGGCCTTTAAATCAGCCCTCCTGAAACTGATGGTTAGCACATGTTGTTGGTGATGAGGCATCCCAAGCATTCACTGTGGACAGGACTTACAGAGCCGTGGCTCACACACGAAACTGGTCTACAAGGGCACACAGTACAGAATGAACTCTGTTGTGCTGAGTAGAACATTTTACAGAGGAAAAATTCAACTTCTCAGGTGGACACAATATGTGGATGAGTCACTGTCGTTGAGTTACCTCAAATGTATCTTTGGTTTTCTTAACTGCAGTTCCGTGATGGACTAAATATATGGTGATACCGGTGATATATGTATATATATATTGGCCAACATTTTTGCTAGTTTTTCTCAAAAGAAACTATTTTCTATTACAGTAAATACATTTTGTATCAGTAGAACAGGTATTATAGACTTGAATCATTATACTGATGCTTCACATAACTGCCCTTTCAAGCAATATTTAATATCCAAGAAAACAAAGCAGTCAACAATAAATTATTCAAACAATAAACTGTACATCCGTACCATAGATGAGAGCAACCCATCCAGGTACTTTCCCTCTACGTTATACGCCGCTGCCCTTTTTGGGTGAAAATATCTCCTGTCCTTTAACTGGTGGTAAATACAAATTCTGAGGTCTTTACCAATCCCATAAAAAAATTATGAAAAGACTTCCATTTGATATCTACACGGAGCCCTGATGTAATAGTCCATCAGGCAAACAATTACACATGTCATTGTACATCGCTGATTGGCGTCTATATGCCAGAATTGAAAGCAATAGATTTTTTTTCAATCTAAGTGGCACACACTTAAACTGGGATTTGTCAGTTTATATTTTAATGCAGCTTCTACATTCATTACCTCGACTTTTCATATTTTACAGTTAACTTTGAGGATTGACCTCATTAGCATAATAATTTAGCTGTGATGAGGTGTTTCCCAGACATATGGTATCGACAGACCGATTCTTTGTTTTCACCGGAAAGTGGGCGGGGCCATCATTTTGCCGCTGTTCTTATCTATAAAGTCAATGTCCTCATGAAAAGGTTTGTTGATAAAGTACTTGTCCAGGAAGCTTGGCTCTTTTTAGGTCTAGACAACCACACTTAAGCACACAAGGAAATCAACGTCGGCCTTTTCCACGTTTTCTTACAGGAAACAAATGACTTGAGTACTTCAATGTGATCCTGTGAATTCTCCAGTTTTTTTAATGAAGCCCTTTGTGTTTATCCCTTGCGCTTGTTGGGGCGTGACTCAGGGAAAGGCTTGTTTATCATATTTCTCTCATGGCTAACAAGTGTGTTCATGTTTTGTTTCACAGGCGGAGGCGAGGCTTGCAGCCAAGCGGGCGGCTCGGGCCGAGGCCAGGGATATTCGAATGAGGGAACTTGAACGGCAGCAAAAAGAGGTATACAACACGAAGTGGACGTGATTCGCTGAGATGCACTGTCACCATTATTCAACTCATCGAGCCAGTTTGTGTAAAGCCCCACAACTGCTGCTGTTAGCTGCACATTCTACATGGAGATGGAACTTTATTTCTCCTATTTTTGTATTTGTTGAGCTGCTCTTCTGCCTTGATAGTCACCGGTGCAGAGAAGCTATTTGGCTTTATGCCTTGAGAAACACTTTTAGATATATCTGACTGTACACATACCCACAGTAAAAGTGCTGCATGTCCACAGATGAAACCAAACGCTCTATTCTTGAAGTGAATGTCACCCCGTTTTTTAACGTTTCAGCATTTCTTTAAGTGAAGTATGATGTTTTTCCTGGCACTTCCTCCCTCTGTCCAGCGTTCTTACCACACGTCATCCAGCAGTAGCAACAAAAAATGGGGTCAGATCCACCAGTGGATGGTAGGCGAGAGTATTGCACTAGCACAGCCTGTTGTGTGGGATTGAGTCCCAGTCAAGCCTGACCATAGAGCTACACTTGACTCACAGACAACACTGAACCTCACTGTGGAAATGTGCCGCAGCAGTGCGTTTGCTTCAGAGACGCTGTAGTGTGTGGCTGTGTGTGTATTTGTAGCGCCAGCATTGGCCTTCGACTTTCTTTAGGTTGGGTGAGTCTGCATGCAAGAAGGTGCTTTGTGTTACTCCTCTAACTCCAGGCTACTTAGAAAGGATGGATGCTTTTGAATGTTTATGAACAACCTTTGCATGGGATTTATCTTTATGCGTGTTGGTGTTTTTACAAGAAGCAGAGATTTTCATTTTGTGCCGTTATGTTGCCTTTTGGAAAAAAACAGATGAGACCAAAATGTGCAATATATAAGCTGTTGTTGTATATCATTAGTCTCGCTGCAGGATAACATTTCCAAATGTTTATAACAACCATTTGGTTATACACATGATGACCGAAGTAGTTTTGCATGGTTTGGGCTTTTGAATAGCAACTGCTGAGTTTTGCAGCGACCTTACTCACCCCTGAGCCTCTCTACTTTCTCTCTATAATCTTTTCAAACGTTTCCTTCCTCCCTCCAGGCTGACTCAGACAAAGCCAGAGGCTCTAGTAGTAGTATATCCAGCAGCAGCAGTCATCGCCGGGTCTGTATCTCCCCAACACACTTCCTCTTTGTCTGTATTTCCTGTCTTCTTTCCTCTTTAATTCTGCACTTAATAACTCATCACACATGTTCCTCTCTCTGTCTGCCTTTCTGCTGTGACTCCATGTTTCCACATGGGCAGGGGCTGGATGATGATGTCATGTCGGTCCGCAGCTACAGGGTGCGTAATGCATAATAAACCCCTGCCAGTTTTATTAAGACTGCTCTCTCATAGATGTGATGTGAGAAAGCCATTGTTCTTCTTAGGAATGCACTTATTAAAGTAAAGCATTTGGGTGAAATACTTGTATTGGTAGTGTTCATTTGCGTCAGTCTAAAATAGTTGGCCAAGTTAAGATTTCCCCTTACCTTTGCTTCTGTTTTTTTATTTAAAGTCAACCTCATCATCAGTACGGGACGTTGGGTCTAAGAGTCGATCCAGTTCCCTTAGAAGAGATCCGTTGGTGCGTTGTGTATGCATGTGTGTGAGATGATGTGTGGATTTTGGAAACTGAGTGAATACCTGGAGTCTCAGCATGTACTTCAGGTCTGGCTAACTTTGTGGTGCTAAGCAGAATTCACTTAGATGGATGACCTAGGATGTGCTTAGAAGCTAAAAAGATTTTTGATTTAATGTTTATTTCGTGTGTTTTTTTTATACGCAAGTTACCTTGGTCCCCTTTCATATCAGACATTCATTGATTAGAGTAGGGCTGCTCAATTAATCGTATTTTAATCGCGATTACCATTATGGCTTGCAACGATTACGAAAACAACGTAATCGAAATAAAACAATTATTTTTTTATTATTATTTTTTTTGGTTTTTCAGTTGAAATATACTTAAAGTTCAGGGTAATCAACTGTTCAAAACATACTGTTTCTCCAATAAATGGATGTTTTCAAAGTCAATGAATAATCGCATTTAATAATCGCAATTACAATTATTGACCCAAATAATCGAGATTATGATTTTTGCCATAATCTAGCAGCCCTAGATTAGAGATGAAGTTATATCTAAAAGGAGATGTAACATTAAGATTACTTTTTTTAGACAATCATCTGTTTTTCCACATTGAATCTCTCCTTATCTTTCTAAAGGGAAATGCAGTCTTTCTGTAGGACACTACATTTGATTTAGAATTGTAAGCATTTAAAGACCTGGAAATGTATGACAAGTCATTAGTGCATTTATCACCTATATGTTGTCAAAACATGCCAGAGCTGTTTTCAGCACTATTACTTAGGGAATGTCTACAATAGTTCATACAAAAATGTGATGTTGCATTCTGTAAGATCTTTATACAAACCTTATAATGGGCACAGTGCCTCTATCAAAAGCTTTTGTACCTTTTACTGTGGCCTTGGTAGGGTGTACAAAACAAATGGTTTGTTTGATCTGTAGATGTGTTGGAGGACTTGTTGCCTGTTGAACAACTAACCTATTGTTAGTGAGGAACACGTGTGTTGCCAGTGAACAGCTAACAGCAACCCAACAGCCTATCAGGTGTTTGATCTTCTGATTATAATTATTGTGACTCCTGTCCTCTCTTCAGTCTGATGCCCTCTCCACTAGCTCCGCCCTCAAGACTTCCCGCTCCACTGTATGTACCTGTGTGATCTGTTGATCACTGCTTATACGCTTCTTCAAGTCATTTTGTATACTTGTTTCTTTTCCTTTTTTTAATCATTTTTCTCTGGGCTGATTAGAGTTCTGTGTACAATGACCTGCAAGGCCATAAAAGGTCTTCATCCAGCTCCTCGAGGAAGGACCTCCTGGTCAGTTTACCCCCGTACTGTTTTCTGCTGCCTTAAGCATGGAGGCAGTGGAGACTAATAATAGTGGCTTGCGGTGGTGATTTACTGTTGATCGACTTTGCCCCTGATAAATATTGACTATTTGTTGTGAAGCAGATGTTGACCGATCCGTGTTGAAAGTGTCTGAATAATGTATTAGTCTGACACTTGAGGATAAATATGCCATTGTTTGGTTGAGGTCATATTATGTCACTACCCTTCTAGGCTGGACTTTACCACGATCAAAGGAACTACACCAGCCTCACGAAGACCAAACCAACGCCTCCGTCCTCCACCTCCACCTCCACTTCCACCTATACTCCTCGGGTCGGTCCCCTGAAAGTCCTGTCCAACATTTTTACACAAACAAGTTAATGTGGTTAAAGACACTCCGTGAAACCAGAGTCGGTTCAGGCAGTATATTCGTACCTGCATGGTCTAGTTTATTGGACAGTTATATGCGTTACAGCTTGTTATATAACTGCGATAAGAGATGTTGTTTGTGTTATAACATAATCAAATAAAAGAGGGTCATTGTTTGCAGCTAGTGTAGCTCTCTATGATAAAACAGTTCTTGTGATCATTTGACTTTATGTAAAGGACTTGCTTTAGGTGGTTATCCTCCATCTGTATTAAAACAGTCGATAGGGACATCGTCACATGACCTCACTTCTCAACACTTTCCACGGTAAATATAAAAGGGTCTGCAAACATTTATCCTGTTTCCACTTCCGCAGCTCTTTAGTCTCTCTCACTTCACATTCCCACTCCAGCTTTCCTCTGTCCTCTAATCTGACATTTCCCTGATCCCATCCTCCCTGACAGGCCACCACTTCCTCCTCCTCCTCCACCACTGGCACGGCGCTGCCTCGTAGCTACAGCATGGTCAGTTTCTCTCTGCACGCCTCTGGTTACCTTCAGCATTTCACATTCTTCCTCTCTTGTGGCCACATACATCTGATAGGATGCCCAGGTTGGCGGGGACTTTATATATTTAGCTCCTGGACACAGAACACTTGTTGGTGTCCAGACATGTGTGCTTCACTGAGATAAGGCAGAGGTTTGCATGAAGCCAGGGCTTTTGTTGTAGAGCACTGAAATAAATGGCCTACTTGAAGTTGGAAATACAGTGTTTCTGTTTATTGAATGGCCCAGATAAAAGTCAGTACACCAAATAAACTTAGCTACTACGTCAAAGACTCATGTGCCCTCTTGTGATCTGCTTCATTGTCTCCCACGTGTGTCCTCAGGCCTCTATTGGCGACGACGCCGGCCTTTACGGCTCGGGGCAAAGTTCAAGAGCCGTAAGTTGTTCTGGGTGTTTGTTAAACAGCGTTTTAGTCACCACCACTGCAGCTAAACTAGCGTGTTTTGCCTGTCCTCCTCCCACCACCACAGCCCTCTGAATTGAGCTGGTACTCCTCTGGAGCCGGCTCCACCCGCAGCAGCCCTGTGGTGAGCACCTAAAAACCACCGCCCTCCTGCATGGTTTCAACAAACACCACACGCTGGTGCCTTTCTATTAACACGCTTATCATACCCCCATGCCTCACTCCTGCTAGGGACATGTGTTGGTCAGCCATCCCGACCAACTTGCTTTAGGGATTAGCATTTTTAAATTGAAATAAAAGTGTGTGAATTGACGATTTTTTGTTTTTTGTAGCGAGGCAGATGTTGTCTTGTCTCCCTTAGTGCTGCTTTTGACATATGGTCCTAATTGCATGAATTGGCATTACTTTAAAGGGGCCCTATTATGCTAATTTTCAGGTTCATATCGTAATGTGTGTCTCTACTGGGACATGTCTCCATGCTTTAATGTTCCAAAAGCGCTTTATTTTTCTCATACTGCCTGTACTGCAGCACCTCTTTTCACCCTCTGTCTGAAACCAGAGTCTGCTCTGATTGGTCAGCTGGCCAGCTCTGTTGTGATTGATCAACCGCTTAGAGATGTCCTGCCCCTTAGCCTATCACTTACAATGTATTGGAGCGCTAGCAAATAGAGAAGAGACTATGTTCCGGAAGTAAACAAAGAAGTCCAACTAAGGTGTTTCAGGCGGGGGGGGGGGGGGGGTGGTGGTGGTGGTTGGAGAGAAACTCCTTCTGGCATGAACTGATGATTTTAGCCTAGAAGACCATTTCACAAAAACCTATATAACACATTACAGGAAAGGGAAAGCCCCAAAAAGCATAATGGGGCCCATTTAAGAGTGTTAGCGTCTCGGGAGCAATCCAATATTCAGTTTAGCACAGTGCTATCTATTTTCTATAGATTGCTGTTTGAACAAGAAATGTGTGTGGGTGTTTGAGAAAGCCTTTGGCATGCAGCCATCTTACATTACTTCAACTCCTCATCTTGTGTGTGTGTGTTTTTATATGTACGTGTGGGTGTTCCTCTCAGTCTTCTTCAGATGATGACACTGTCAGCAGCGTGTCCCAGGAGCGTGTCAACCGAGGCCGCAGGGACAGTGTGGTGAGCTGTAGGGACTGATGCTGTACTACTAGTTGATAATCTAATAATCAAACCTTTTTTATTTTATTAAAATAAGCTGCATAACAGCCTCAGATTAATACCTCATCATTTGTCACAACACAACCATGCGTTTTGAGTTCCCTTAATGCCTAATCTTTGTTTCCTCCTACGATTCTTCACCTTTGGCTCTCTGTTATTCTTTATTTCTGTGCCTCTATCCCTCTCTTCTTCATCCTGCGTGTGTTCCGAGCAGTCGTCTGACTTCTCCGACATTAGTGAGTCGGCTGCTGATTATTTCAGCCGCACCAACCGAAGAGGCAGTATTGTGTCTGACCTCGATGATCTGAGCATTCCAGATCTTGACAGTGTAAGTTTTACGACAGCGGTTTGGAGAGTGCAGTGTGCAACCCCAGAGATGCATGATTACAAATAACACTTGGTTTTCAAAACTCATACCACAGTGTGTTTTTATGGACTCTACATAAGTGGTGTAAGAGTACAGCTGATTTGGCTGCCGTGTTGCAGCAGCATGGATGTGGAAAATCTTCTTTAATGGAGTGTGAATCACTCAGTGTTACATTGCTCGTTTGGTTGTCAACTGTTTGTGGTCTGTGAACATGCAGCACTTATCCCAGCCGTGTATTAACTCTTGGACTAACTCCCTGATTTACAGACGAAGAAACGGCTCCAGGCATGACAACACAGGACGCGTGATCTCAAAATAATCTTTTATCTATGTTTGAATATTTCTTCTCTTTCTTTCAGCTGGATGAAAAATGTGACAAGCAGTATTCAGATTTTAGTCGGGTGAGTGCACCATCATTTATGCTTTTTACTTTTACTCAAACAGGCAATGAAGCGGTCAGTGGGTTTAATCTCATACTGAACTATAAATAGATTTTTGTAATGCCACATTAGGAAGCTACCAAGTAACCAATCAGGGATGCAAACTTGTCACCTTTCGGCGAAATTCGCCGTTTTGAATCCAAAATAGGTCGTTTGTGTGATTCATGTAGCTCTGCAATAAAAATATTGTTGGGGTATGGGGGGGTCTGGGACCCGGAGTAATCTGCGGCCGCGAGCTGTTATGTGCCATCATGACACGCATGGTGTTCTTTTTTTATATATTATAATGCAGCGCGAGCTGTGTGCTCGAGTCTTCCTGCCTGTCTGCTCTGCTCATGGATGTATTAAGGCTCTGCTGCTCCGCGATGATGGTCTAGCTTCAGCAGCCACATGAACTGTGCGGTCCGGAGTCACTGTGGTACAGACTGGACCGCTGGTGAACAGCTGTTAGAACGGGCCGTTCAGGTGTTCAGAGCAGAGCTCCCTGTCGGAGCTGCAGAGCGTGATGTAAACTGAAAAGTTTTTCTGTCGCAATATTATCGTTGAGCTAGCTAACTAGCATACATTGTCACTATCTGCTAACGTTAGCTTTAGCCTTCGTTTTCTAATAGTTTTTTTTTCATAGGCTATAAACGGAGGTGGTATAAGTACACAGATCTTGTACTTGAGTAAAAGTAGAAGCACTCAGATCTTGTACTTGATTAAAAGCAGAAGTACTCAGATCTTGTACTTGATTAAAAGCAGAAATACTCAGATCTTGTACTTGAGTAAAAGTAGAAGTACACAGATCTTGTACTTGAGTAAAAGTAGAAGCACTCAGATCTTGTACTTGAGTAAAAGTAGAAGCACTCAGATCTTGTACTTGATTAAAAGTAGAAGTACTCAGATCTTGTACTTGAGTAAAAGTAGAAGTACTCAGGTCTTGTACTTGAGTAAAAGTAGAAGTACCAGAGTGTAGGAATACTCTGTTAGTAAAAATACTGCATTCAAAATGTTCCTCAAGTAAAAGTAGAAAAGTATTCTCATCAAAATATAGTGAAAGTAGCGACAGTAAAAGTAGTCACTGTGCAGACTGGTCCATTTCAGAATACTATATATGATATGTTTTATAATGATTGATCATGAAAGTGTTCTCAAAGCTGGTAAAGGTGCAGCTAGTTTGAATGACTTTGTATTCTGCAGGGTAGCTTGTGGATTTACTCCAGGTGGAACTAAAGTCTGATTCAACACTTGATTATATTTCACATCATTCATCCACATCTGTAAAGTAACTAAAGGTATTAAATACATGTAGTGGAGGAAAAGTACACCATGTACCTCTGAACTGTAGAGGAGAAGAAGAACAAAGTAGCAAAACATTGAAATACTTAAATAAAATACAAGTATCTCAAAATTGTACCCAAGTATAGTACTTGAGTTTATGAACTTAGTTACTTTACACCAGATGCCATAAAGATAGAAAGACTAAGCCTTGCACAGAGGCATGAAAATACATTTTCAAAATGCTCAACAGTGCTGCCAAAATTATAAACTGACTGCTACACAATTAAAATAAATGCTTTTCTATATTTCTACTAGATGTGACTCTTTAGCGTTTCTGTTATTATTAACACTGCTGCTTTAGTTGTTCTGACTGCTAACATCCTGTTATTCCTCATTTTAAAGCCGATATTCCGTGGGGTCGGGGGCTCGGGTCCTTGTCACCTTTTCCATACCTGATGAGTTTGCATCCCTGCACAATACAAAAGTATTATCTGGGTTTTATACACAAAGTTTAGTAGCAAAACACTTGAACACGTGACAGGAGGATTTCAATTTGGGGGGGTCAATTAAAAGTAGGGTTTTTTTGGTACTTGGTCAGTGTACTACAGACGATGGCAGTCTTGGATATTAGTTTATTGTCTATGCTTGATTTAGCACATTCCCACCTCTTAAACCTGCTGTCAGAAAGCATTTTCAGAAGAATAACAGAAGCCTGTATCTCTGATATTAAAAGCACCAGAATCCTTTGACAACAAAATGTACTGCGCAGATCCCAGAGATGAAAAGGTTCTTCTTCTTGTCTATTAACAACTGGAAGAGCTTTTACATACTCAAGTCAGCATTCAAACACAGAGGCTTCCATAAAAGATGCATCATCAGGTTGCTGGTTAACCACCGCCTCGATCGGTTAGTTAGTTAGTTAGTTTAATTGTGTGACTTTGATTCATCTCAAACCAACCACGTAAAACACGAAAGTACCGCTTCAAGCGATCAGTGCGATCACTTTGAGAGCCCGGCGGCATCACATGATGTTGTGAATGTGTTGCATTGTGCAGCAGTTTGTATGTGTTTTTGTTCCTGACTAATGTTCTGTGGTTTTCTGTCTTCTCAGCCATCCTCCCGATGCGCCACCCCAGGCCTCTCAGTGGCCGCGTTGGCGTCGCTGGGCGGCTCGTCGTCACGGCGGGGCAGCACGGACACGGGGAGCATCTATGACGCCGACACCAGTCTGAGTGAACTTAGGGTAAGGTGTACAACACACACACTGTCACCCTTCTATTACTGCAGCTGAACAAACTGGAAAGAAAATAGCATGTGGATTCAATTTGACTTGCTGTAGTTGCCATAAATCACATGATCATCAAGCTAAGATGCTAATTCACATGTTCTGTATATATCTGTCCCTTCTTCATATGAAGCTCCCACAGCGTTTCTTCTGTTGTGTCCTCCCTGCTGTTTCTGCTTCTTTCCTTACGGATGTGACATGTTCCCTGAGGTGTTCCTTATTTCTGGGTGCGCTGGCCATGTGTCTGCCAGCTGGGTTGTTTTTGCAGCACGGGTGCTTTGTTATCTCTCCTTGATACCCCCCCCCCTGACTCTCTGATACCCCGGTTCACCCCAACCATTCCTCCCATCTGCTCTACAGGATATCTATGAACTTAAGGACCAGATTCAGGATGTAGAAGGGCGGTACATGCAAGGGCTTAAAGAGCTGAAGGTAGAGGGGCTTGAGCTCGCAGCATGCCTTCTCTTTTTCTCTGGGAGCAGTATGGCACCACTACCACCCCCCCCCCCCCCTCCTGTAGCTCCTAACACCACAGCCCTGTCTTTGCGTGCTCCCAGTCTGAATTACGTAATGATCCTTCTTTTTGCATGATCTTCCCTCCACTTCCTGTTTTGATCCAACTCACTGCTTGTGGCCTGACACGAAGACACTCCCACAATTCCACTGGGTTCAAAGTTGTCCGCAGAAGAGTTAAAATGCTCCACCTGCTGACAGATAACAGTCATGCACAGTGTTGGGTGGCCTTCTGGCTGTCCCTTTCACTTTCTCATGTGTCTTTATAGATACAAGTAGTTTACTAACCAATTAGTCCTTGTTGGCTTGTTCTTGGTAGAGTTTGACACAGCTAATGCACTTTTAGCTTTAGACTCTTTTAGATGTTATTGTCCACTTTTGGTTCTCTCTTTCAGATCCCTTTTTCACACCATCGCCTTGTTTCACTAAAGAAAGTGACTCGACGCATTCTTATAACTGCAGGATTAACTCGCACCACATTATTAGTCCTCCATTTAAAATAGAATAATACCACAAATGGGTTAGAATGATGCCTTAACCTATTCTTACATTGGGAAATACAAAAATACGTGTTTAGTGTGTGTTTTTCATGATTAAACCAGAAACCCCACCTGGTGCATGTTCTGTAGGTGAGCTGTGCTTTTACTGCTTATTAACATGCTCCAACCTTTATCAGGAGTCACTTGCAGAGGTGGAGGAGAAGTATAAGAAAGCCATGGTATCGAACGCACAGCTGGACAACGACAAAGGCAACTTCATCTACCAGGTGGACACACTAAAGGACGTCATCGAGGAGATGGAGGAACAAATGTCCGAGATGAAGAGGGAGCTGGAAGACAAGTCAAAGGTAATGCATCTTCAAAGAAAGCTTATTCTAAATCAATGTCATTAAGGTACATTTACAAATGATCATACGTCCGTGTTTCCAGGACCTAGAAAGACAAAAGCACACGTGTTCGGTCCTGCAGCATAAACAAGACGAGCTGAAAGAGGGAATCCGCCAGAGAGATGAGCTTATAGAGGTAAGACTGTTTCTGTGACCACATCACACTGCTCTCCCTCAGCACTGTGAAAGGTGTCGCTGCAGAGGAGCCTCTGTTCTGCAGGAACTTGATAAGGATTGATTGGCACCGGCCTGCCTCTGAGGGTCCTCCCTTTTCCCTTCTGACATTCAGCTCCGTTTCCTATCTGACTCTGAACACTATCATTCATTGCTTTCTCAGCATTTTCTCCTCAATGGAGTCTCTTCTTACCCGTTTCACCTGCTCCTATCTCTCATTTCTGTCTCTCACATCAGGGTTTCCGTTTCCAGGATAACCATCCGGCCCAATTGTCCTGGTTATCTGTGTTTTTGTAACTATTGCTGCCTCAGGTTGAGCCGTTGATCCATGTTTGGTCCTTACTGCAGCGGCCAAGGTTCAAATCTGACCTGGGCCCCTTTGCTGCACATCGCCCACTCGCTCTTTTCCATTTCTGTCTATCTGCACTTCAAATAGAATGAAAAGCCCCAAAAATGATCCTTAAAAAAGTGTAAACATTTGATCAGCCGGCTAAATAAAGAATGATATCACACGTTATGTGATATTTTTGTTGAAAAGCAGGTTGCTTTTGCTTATACATTCAATTCCAAATCGAGGCAGGCTCCATGGAGGAGGTGGACCCTTTGCAGAGCAGACGTTAATATTTGCCAGTCTCTCTCTCTCTCTCTTATTTACATTTTTCACACGAGGGTCCTTTAAACAGAAGTTGCCAATACGGAACTCTAACAGACTTCATGGCAATGAGAATACTGACAGTTTGGTTTCTTTCTCTACATGGATTTGGTATGTTGCTGAGCTTACGTGACTCAATCCCAAGCATACTCAGTTTCCAGTTGTTAACTAACCCACATTACCAAACCAAGTAAATAAAGCACATTTTACAGAACTCGGTCCAAAAACAGCCAGTTAAAACATTCTGCTAAAGACCCTCTTTGTTACGTCTTTAATAACTGAGGGGAGATTTTCCCGGTTAAGAAAAGCAGTAATCACAGCAGGACAACGGAGACCCTGATGTGTCTGTGTTTATGTACATATTCCCTTGTTTTGTCTTTGTTCCATCCAATATTTCCTATTCTCTTCTTATCCTGTATTGTGCCGCCTCTCCACGCCGCTGCAGGAGAGCCAGCGAATGCAGACTAAGTTAGACGCCCTCACCAGAGAGGTGTTTGACCTGCAGGAAACCATAAACTGGAAGGACAAAAAGATCGGGGTAGGAGGTCCCCTCGGGTGCTCTGACAGAGCATGGGGGGCAAAAGAGGGCTGGGCCTTTCCCGACCTTTAGACACGGTGTACCCCCCTCTTTTGCCTCTCATGCTGTCTCTGCATGATGGAGACCCTTTAGGCTTTACCTGGACATGTTTACTCTCACAGTTTGGAAGTGTGCATGTCCAAATAACAGCTTTTGGTTTGGATCCTGTGACCCCGGCTAACAATGCAAGCGCACCAGCACCACGTTGAAGCTTACTGTGACATAGTACACATAAATACTACATAAATGTAGGATAATCAAGTGAATTACAATTGTAAAGAAGTAGTATCCACATATTCAGGCATGATATGCATGGTACACGTGTGGATCTGTTAATTTGTTAGGTAATAGAGGTCCAAGTAAATAAAGCATAATGATTATATTGTTAATTTTAGAAAGTCAAACCGATCTACCTCCCAACATCTTCCTTCCCTTTCCTCCTCCACACCTTTGAACGTTGTCATCTGTGTGTTTGTTTCTACATCCTCGATGTGCATGTGTGTGCACGGTGATGTCCTCCTGTAGCACGTGGTGTCGCATGTCTGTCCTCCAGAGTCCTTCCAACTTCTCCTCTGCCTCTTTCTCCTCTTCCTCTCCGTGTGTGTGGCCAGGCCCTAGAGAGGCAGAAAGAGTACTTTGATTGCGTTAGGAGTGAGAGAGACGAGCTCAGAGGTGAGCTTTCTGACATCAAGGGGAAGGCCAAAGCAGGAGAGGTACGTCTTCCTTAAGGGAAACAACATGCTGGCCAAAATCAACTTTTTATGTATTCTTCTGTTGGAACTAAACAAGTTATGCACTTCTGCTTCTTTGTTTTCATTTCATTTTATTTTGTAATACTTGCTGGTTTTCCCGAAGCCATGTTGCTCACCTGACCCTGCCTGCAGTGCACTATGGGACATTAAGGCTGCATTTGTTATTTATTGAGTGTATTGTCAATTCAAATGGTGTCGTCTTGCATATGACTGCACAACAGATATAGAATGCTTTTCTAAAAACTGAGACTCGACATAAAGTGAAAGTATTCTGACAAATGTATTGATTAGGAAAATCCTGACACATGCTGCTTTCAAATAATACAAAGTGTTTTTATTTTGGGCCTTTAGGGTTTGGTTAATGCACCTCCAGGAGGGTACATTTAAAAAAATGTTGTTGACATTTCAATATACTACAATATACTATATAGCAGCAACCGATAATTAACTGGCATATGTTGTAGCAGATACAATAACCACTGCTACTTTTATAAGTGTGTGTATGCTACAAAAATCATGAGAATTACGTCTTATTACTAATTAAATATGATCTGTGTCATCACAGATAGCTCCTGTGGCATCATGCTGCTGGTGGAGATGAAAGGCTGCTTGATTTCTGCCTCAAAGTCCACAAAAGTTCAGCTAATTTTAAGATGCATAGCTAATTGAGCAAAGCCGTCACCTGCAAAAACAAAGTACTCTTTAACCCACTCATAATAATATTTCTTTAGCATAACTAACGGCATATAGCTGTACAGAGCAGACTGTGTGAGTTAGGATAGGGCAGGGAGTTGGCTGGGAGCAGCGCGGTCGAAGAAGTCACATCTCAGTGAGATCATGTTCTCTGTTTTACAGGACTCTAGTCAAATATACCCTCACTCCTCTGTGGCCTCTCTGATCCAAAGTCCCTGTGTGTGTATGGAGCTCATCCTCATATAAACGGTGACCTAGAGAGCAGGGAAATCACAACTCAGCCATGCTCCACATTATTATTATTAGACGTCGATAATATGCTGAGATTAAATAATTACATAATAATGATCAGCCAGTCATATATTGTGCATCTATATATTGTGCATCCTTACATTTGACCAAACATAGAGCAATGACTTTTCAGTACTTTGTGCAGACCCTTGTTATTTATTTTAGGCTGTACTTTTGCAAGGGTTTACCTAATCAAATCACATTAATATTCCAAAAAGATTGCACATAAAATTAAATGAATAAAAATAAGGCATTCAATTAAAGGAAAAACATATTCATTGAAAATGTTCGTATACATTTTAAAAAGGATATTCCGGTGTGCAACCATCTTACTACTAGGTAAAGGCTTTACAAAAACTCAAATTAAACAAAAAATAAGAAATGTAAATGTCTTAAGTGAACTACAAATACCCTTTTAACAGAATAACATATATTACTCATGTTGGGTACCTTTAACATACCTATTAACAGATTTTCACATGGACACTCTTCAACCTCTGACACACAGATGACTCTATGCTTATATTATCTTTGCAGTTTAACAATACTTATAGGACAACATTACAAAGCATGTAAGGTAACAAATAGGTTGTTTCTTTTGGATTTTCTCCACAAAGTAGGCTATGTTTGGTGGGGGGGGTTTGCGTTATAGAAGAAGTGAGCCGGTCCTCAGTAAGGTGTGTTCTCTCGCCACAGAAACACGGGCTGGTCATCATCCCCGACGGAACACCCAATGGAGATGTGAACCACGAGCCTCTGTCCTCGGGGATCACGGTGGTCTCCCAGGAGGCCGCGCAGGTGCTGGAGTCTGCCGGGGAGGGTCCTTTGGGTGAGTCACGGAAAGCATTCTGTTTACACACGTTCCTAAATCTAAGAGGTGTGTAAAGCAAGACCGAGTCCTTAAACCTGGGAAATGCTAGCAAGTGGCTAACTGAGACTTTTAAACACATTAGCCACCTTTAGCTTGGCGGTGGTGATGTGAAGTCATATGACCGTGATGTAGTTAGTTTGTAGCCTAATGGGAGCCTTTTTCTCTCAGCTGTTGCATTTACACTTTAACATTTGAGTGTGTGTTAAAATCTTAATGTGTGGAGATTACACGATAAGTCAAACAAGTCATACAAATGTGTTTGCCACTAATCTTATCTTCTGATATACACAAATACAATCTTTGTTAGCCCTTGCGAGCTAACTTCCAGGTTGGCCGAATATATAGTCATCCCTGCACCACTTCATTTAGATGTAAGACATTTATAAACAAGTGACTGTTTTAGCACGCTGGACACACTCCAGTTCACTCGGCTTGACTTCTTAAATTGCCTGAGCTTAATGTGTTTTCCATCTTGTCCGTAGATGTCAGACTACGTAAGTTGGCGGAGGAGAAAGATGAACTGTTGGCTCAGATCAGGAAGCTGAAGAACCAGCTGGAGGAGGAGAGGCAGAAGCACTCAAAGATGGACAGCGCATACACAGACGGAGAGAGGATGGAGAACGGTACAGACCTGCACATCATCGAGATGCAGAGTAAGTAGGTCCAGCACAACAACACATTTGAACACTTATTTTTGTATTTTTTAAACTCACCGGTTGGTGTTTCTGTCTGCAGGAGATTCCAACAGACAGATGAGTGAATACAAATTCAAGCTTTCTAAAGCAGAACAGGAATTAGGAACAATGGAACAAAATGTAAGTGAAAAGAAAAGCTCTTTTCAAACCGATTTCTAAAAGTAGTACATTTCAGGGCTCTAATTCATCAAGTCTTTCTTTTATGTGTCCGTTTTCCAGATCAACAGACTTGAAGGGCAAGTGTCCAGATACAAGGCATCAGCTGATAGTTCAGAGAAAGTAGAAGACGAACTCAAAACAGAAAAACGGCGACTTCAACGAGAGGTAAAGACTTTGTCAAATGAAACGGTAAAAGAAGAAGTTTAGAGTGTAACACCCCCCCCCCCCTCTGTTCCCCCGCAGCTGCGCATGGCTCTGGATAAGAACGAGGAGATGGAGATGACCAACAACCACCTAGTGAAGCGCCTGGAGAAGATGAAGGCCAACAGGAACGCCCTCCTGTCGCAGCAGTGAGGCAGCGTCACCACAGAAGCCCTTAAACTCGCACCTCAGACCTCTGACTGCCATATTGTGTCTGGAGCACATTTCCATTTTTAGCCGTAACACTTTTGAGATTTGTAGCTAACCAAAAACACTTTAAAAACGAAAAACAAGGTGTAGCACAGGCGACAAACGGAACTGTGTCTTCTCTTTTTTTGTTTAAAACGGAAGCGTTGGTTTTGCCTGGCAAGCCGCCGCTGCTTTGGGAGGAATGACTCGGAAACAAACTAATACAACTATTAAGTTGCTGGGAGATACATCTGAGGAAATCTCTAATCACTACTTAATCTTCAGAGCTTTGTACTGCGTCTTGTTATCCACAGATCTCCTCTCTGGCTGGGTGCTTGGCTGTACTCTTTGGTTTTTTTGATAAGTTGCATGAATGAATATTATGATGCTTTTTAAACTTTTCAACTGTCACGGCTGCTCCGCCCCGCCGCACCTTCCCGGCTTCCCCTCACAGTGAAGTGCCTTTTCACACTCGGAGATCGGGGGTCCGCACGGCTCCACGGAAAAAACAATAATCGTTTTAACAGGTACAGAATGATGTATTTAAAAAAGGTGCAGTCATTATTTGCAATGTATGTAGAACCAACTGTGTCTGCTGCGGTTTCATTGAACATGTTCAAATATTTAAAAGATTTCTTGAGAATAAATGTAATTTACAGAACTGTGTATACAATCTGAATCTTTATTTTGTTCAGTGTGCAGTTTGGCTTTTTACCGTTGTAGTATCATTATACTCTGTATTGTTCATTTTGCATTGGTTTCCGGAAGATGAACCCTCAGTTGCTATTTCATAAGACAGGAAAATACTTTTGCAGGTTCTTCATTTAAAGCAGGCATATTATGCTGTAGCTAGCTCCACCCGCAGCAGCCCTAAAGGTGAGCACCTACAAACCACCGCCCTCCTGCATGGTTTCAACCAACACCACACGCTGGTGCCTTTCTGTTAACACGCTTATCATACCCCCATGCCTCACTCCTGCTCGGGTCATGTGTTGGTCAGCCATCCCGAAGTGACTACCTCTTGCTTTAGGGAACAGCATTGTTCAGTTGACATTTAAAAGGGGTGAAATTAGGTATTTCTTTTGCAATTCTGCAAGTTGTTGTTGTAGCAAGGCTGAGGTTGTCTTGTTTCACTTAGCGCTGTTTTTGACTTATGGTCCTGATTGCATTACTTTAAAGGGGCCCTATCATGCTCATTTTCAGGTTCATATTTGTATTGTGTGTCTCGACTGTGACATGTCTCCATGCTTTAATGTTCAAAAAGCTCTTTATTTTTCTCACACTGCCTGTGCTGCAGCACCTCTTTTCACCCTCTGTCTGAAACCAGAGCCCAGTCTGCTCTGATTGGTTAGCTGGCTGGCTCTGTTGTGATTGGTCAACCCCTTTAGAGATGTCCCGCACCTTTACATAGTGATGTCACTAAGTTACAGAAGTAAACAAAGGAGTCCAATGGAGGCGTTTCAGGCACTGGGAGTGTGTGGGAGAGAAACTCCCTCTGGAGGGAACTTTGGGATTTTAGTCTTTGCAGAACATTTAAATGCACAATAACCTATAACACACTACAGGAAATGGAAAACCCCCAAAAGCCTAATACAGGTTCCTTCAATTTTCCAGGCTTAAATGTGTTACAACTTATGATTACGTTAAAGTCCATAAAGTGGAACAATTAGCTGCGGTGTTTATTTCCTCCACACTTCCTCTGTGTCTTAGACTGAAATGTAGCTGCAGTAAAAGCCCAGCTAATGTGCTGGCACTGTGTCGGTAACCTTATGGGATGTGTGACCCTGATTCACTTTTTCCTGGCTGCCTGTCCCAGGTCTTACTTTTAGAAAACCATGTGTAGCCTTGGCACATTTGAATGGGCTTTTTAGGATTAACTATGACATCATGGAATATGGTGTCTCTGCAAAGACACATCTGGAGCCTTGTTTTACACAAAGTATTTATTTACAGCACAAATGTTACATAAAGGAGCAGCATGTTTGGTTGGACTGAGTATCCGTTAACACCTCTCAAACACTTTATAGAGGTCGGGTAAGTTGGCGATCTGCAGCACAGTGCCGTCCTCGCTGAAGTTCTTCGGAGGACTGAAGAGGGTTCGGAAATATTTGAATATGACGTGCTCGACTTTCCATCGCCATGAGTTCACCTCAGCCTCCTGAAAAAACATCACGTCAGTTCTTTAGCATTCATATTATATTGAATCAAAGGAAGTGAACAGGACGGTTGGGAGTATGAGGTAGTTATCAATAGAGAAGCAGGCAGGAGTATGGGTACAGGCAAAGCCTACTGCTGTGGAGGGGCAGGGGAAAAATGTATGTTTAAGTGTACGCTACATTTAGAATACTCACAGCACTCTACTTGGCGTTAGACAGCCTTTACTGATAAGATAACTTAGGCAGTTGCATTGCTCTCTTCAAAGCCACCAGACTCCATTGACAAAAACAGTCATTTTATCCTGCAGAACACAGACGCTGCTGGTCTGCCGACACCTTGTTTGGTAAGTGCATTTGTGTTATCAAGCTATAACATAAACAAAATAAGTGATGGAAGAAGCAGTACACCAAAAACTCCTGTCTTCTGCGACGTTAAGTCTGTTAATGGGGATTTAAAGAACGAAGCTTTCGTTTGTAAGTTGCTTGAGTTGTCCCATTGAAAAGAGAAGCCGTCTAGGGACAAGGCATACTTTTCTAAATGAAGACACACTAAGCTAATACTGAATGTTTTTTTAAAAGGTGGCTATATCACACTATGTTGCTGGCACAGTCAATAGAAGAACATTTCTTAGCACTCCCAGTATTCCTGTCTGTTTCTCCAAATATGAGGCGTGCAAGCCACCATCCATTGTGGGGAAAGCACTGACTAGGAATAAGTACCTCATACAACCCTACTTCAAACTATTCCTCAAAAATGCGGAGTCCCCACCTGCTCCTCTCCGGGCTCGGCCTCCAGGATGTAGCGCTTCCTGATGGAGTAGAACGTGCTGCACTCCTTACCAAAGTCTCTGAAGCACTCTCTCTCATTGTCCCAGTTCACCTGCACAACACCACCAAGCACAAACCTTCAGATACAGTTCATCTCCAGAATCTCACCATAACGGCACAGAGAGATACTCACCTCAGTGGCCAGGCGCAGGATGAACATGGGGAGACCCTCCATCACCGGGGTGTACTTGTCGAGCAGTAACGGCAGCCCAGTCAGATTCCCTTCCTAAAATGTACAAAGATCAGATTTAAAGCATGTGTAAAAGTAGATTGATAATGTCATGTTTTGCTGACAAAGAATCAATTCTTATCTAAGAAATGCTCTATAGTTCATTAAGCACCTTTTACTTTTTCTCATGTAGGAAACGGGTGGAAAAGTTGTTGTCAGGATCATTTTCATCAGTAATTCTTATTCTAGTCACAAAAGGCTGAAATGCAACTACTGCATGTTTTAAAAACAGGACAAATCTTTTTAATGTTATGTTACATTCTAATAACTAAATGTGTACGTTGTGTTCAGACAGGGTATATGCAGGAATCCTGAAGTCAAATGTAATACCTTTTTTAAAGACCCTTTCCATACATTTTAAGACCTCATCGCCACTTCGAGTTCTAACCGGTTACACACTTTACTATATACAGTATGGATTGTAAGATAGCACAACTAAACAGCTTGTGATAGAACAAAGCACAAGAGAATAAATTGTGTGACTAACCCAATGCAAGGTTTATTAGAAAAATAAACCATTAGAAAGTATTTGATTTAGGCATTGTTCCCAAGAGATAAAAAAACGATATATATGTTAACACTTTTCTCGTTCTTAATATAGACTATATTTAGGATCGATATGTACTTTACTTTAAAATAGCAGGTCACTGTGACCGGATATAGTTCGGCTTAGTGAACGTGTGTCTCTTCCTTGGAGGAGCGGCATCGGCCAGACTCCGCTGCTCCTCCGTGTGTCAGCGACTTGCAGTCAGGGGAGGCACGGATTGGCTATCGGGAGAGTCGGGACTTAAACGCTGCGGCTTTCTGGCTATTACTTAGCCTGTGGGACCGGACAGCTTTGATCCCCATCGACAGTGGCGATTCTAGAGTCGGTGGGCCCCTCGAACCAGCTTTCATCACCATCAGTGGCGCCCCAAAACACTCTTTTCTCCCCCCCCCCCCCCCCCAGGCGGAGCAAGGCAACGAAACTTAAAATAAGAAGCAGAATTTTACGGCGCGCTATGCATGGGGCCACCTTGAGAGGGTTTCCCGACATGTGGTTGCAGTAAATTAAAGGGTGTTTCTTGTGGACCTTCTTAATACCTTGGAAAATGCCGTTTAATAGCCTTAATTTTCGCTAAATTGATTTATCAACTTTTAATACTTTTTAAGACCCCGCGGACACCCTGTTAGAGGACATTGAGAATGGTTAAACTCACTTCACCAACCAAAAACATATTTTTTCAGAAATTAACTCAAAAAATAAAGTATCATACTTAGAAACGTCCCTCCGGTATTCCAATCCATAGAAAGACATTTGCAGGGAAAATGTATTTGGAGACTTTGTGTGTTTTTAGAGAATTATCTTCCTGACAGACAATCACTGTCCTAATACCACAGACCTGGTCTATCTCCACAGAGAAGTAGTCCCCCAGCATCTCAGTTTTCTTCTTCAGGAAGTCCACTATGTACCGAGCCAGGCCTTCTTTAGGGCCGTCGTCTTCTGTCCAGCCGCTCTCCTCAGAGTCCAGAGCCAGCATGGCCAGGTCGTAGAGTGGAGCTGGGGTCTGAGTGCACATTATCAGGCATATCGATCAGAAACTGCACAGTACATACTAATGATTCTCAAAAAACAGTAATACTTACTGATAGTCTTAATACACCAAAGTTCCCGAAGTCGTAGATGAGTATTTGGTAGAAAAGCTCCTGGCTGCAGCAGAATAACAAATGAATCATATGGGAAATAAAGTAGCCGACTGAAACATGTTTTTTTTAACGGGGTTGCATGCTGTACTTCCGAGTCTAGATCAAAATAATCAATATCAGTTTAAGTGTGCGCTATAGTTAGAATATTTCCCCCGCTTTACCTTGCCATCAGACAGCCCTTTCAGACAGAACTGAAGCTGTTATGCTTCAAAGACGCCAGACACCATTAACAAAAATGCTAATATTACCTTGTAGAATACTGGAGTTGCTGGTCTAATGCTGCCTCGATCAGTAAGTTAGTCTGTGTTTTTGTGTGATGTGGTAAATCCGGTTTGGTAAAACACACAAAAACAAAGTGATCAAGGCAGCGATACACCAGCAACTCCCGTAGTCTACAGTGTTAATATTACAGTTTTTGTAGATGGAGTCTGGTGGCTGCGAAACATACAGGATGTAGTTTCCCAGACTGTCTGAAGGAGGGGAAATATCCCAAACTGACTTTCTTTAGGGGGATAAAATAAATTGTTCTGCTGCCCCCATCAACCGTTTACAGCAGTGGTTCCCAACCTTTTTTGCATCATGTACCCCTTGAGCTGGTCTCCATTCTATAAGTACCCCCTCACTCATGATTCGCCTACATGTTTTCTTGTGTTAAACCCTTTGTAATCATATTCAACCAAACTCACTTTTAGCCGTTTCAACTGCTTATATTAAGAGCTTTTAATGAGACACTTGTGCAGGACACCAGGCTTATGCAAATTCATTTTCAAATGTTTTGTGTGTGGAAATATATTGCAATCCCTAATCTTTCTACATACCCCCTTACAATCCCCTCAAGTACCCCCGGTTGGGAACCACTGGTTTACAGTACAGTATACAGTGATTAACAGTTTTAAACTATTCCAACTACTAACAGAACAGTGAGCTGCTGTGGCTCTGACCTGAGTTTGGTGGTGTTCAGCAGGTACAGTTTGGTGTGATGTTGGATCAGAGTCCACTGAGGGTTGACGCAGCCCACAAACGAGTGGTTCTGCAACATTTCTTGAAGGCCTGGAGGAACAAAAAAGTGCATACTGAAAAGAGGGAAAATGTGTTGATGGGTGAATGAGCAGAAAGTTAAATCACTGAGATTTGGAGATGGGAGTGAGCTAGACAGCAAGGAGTCACTCCTAAAATGCTACAGTTTATCGGTAACAGATGTTTTGTTTACCTTTGTGTGCATTCTCAGTGATCTCAGTTCTGAGCTCTTTGATGCTGGACAGTTTAATGGCTCGTCTCTTGGGTGTCGCTGCAACCGTCAGGTCCTCCACTTCCTCCACCTCCTGCTGCTGCTCTTTCCTGGGTCGCTTCCTGGCCACACACACACACACACACACACACACACACACACACACACACACACACACACACACACACACACACACACACACACACACACACACACACACACACAGCTGTTAAACCTCCAGAACACACTCTGCACCCTTGTACTCTCCACACTCCCATGGGTTTGCAGTGGACACACTATAAGACTTCACAGGCTGTGAAATTGTTTAATGGGCGTCACATATTTGTATTGTCCTGCCACAATAAAAGTACAAGTTAAGTCTGCATCAATTCCTTTTTCAGCCACATGGGGGCAGGGGATATCCACAATTTGATGACTTTAAACTTGCCATATGATCATTTGATACAGTTTTAGGGACTACAGTAAGTTAACAAAGAGTTGCAACATCAAACAGGGAGCAACATTAGCATTCAGTCGTGTTTTCTAGCCATCTGATGACTGGACCTCCATTGACCACTCTTTAACTAGTTTGTTTGTGTTTACCAACTACTGAGAGAAACATCTTAGTCTTTAGCTGCTCAATGACTGTCTTTGTTCACCAGCTAGTTTACACTGCATTTATCAAAACCATTTCGCAGGAAACTGGTTTAATTACATTAGTGAGACTTATAAATGAAATGTGTTTGTCTAAACTGAAACAAGAAGCTAAAAGACGCAATGAACCCGTGTGGTTTCACAAACTCCTTTTTGTATAACTTGATTTTTAGTTTGACCTTTGAACAGAGTCTGCCAGGTCTCCTCCTCCTCCTGGCTCCTCTGCTTCCTGCCGAGTCAGGGCCTGCAGCATGTCTGCATCGTCCGTCTCCTCCATCTCTGTCCTGTCATGCTGGGCACTTCTGCTCGCAGCCTCCCTGCTGCTGGGTCCGGCTGATCCAGGGTCAGGGGCCGGCTTCTCTTTGGGCTGCAGGAAGGCGTCCAGCTTCTGAGCGCGGCAGTCGGTCCTCACCATCTGATGTGCGTAGACTCGATCGCTGGACTCTGCCGCGCCGCTGGAGGACTTCCCCTCGCTGCCGCCTGCGGCTGAGAGACCCGGCAGCAACGTCTGCACAAACAGAGATATGTCAGAGTGTATCCTCACCACAGCTCAACACTAACTTTCAAAGCCAAACAAGACCAGGCATGAGGTTTTGGTTGCGGAAACTGAAAATATGGTTGCCATTTTTCACCTTTTATTCTGGGTGATTAAGATACTATGTTTTTATAGGTTGGCTTATTGATAATAATCAGCGTTAAAACAATGGAAGCTTAAAACTGCAACAAACTATATTCTTGGTAGTCTGTGTTTTATATGATAATTTACAGAATTCGATTTTTTTGTGAAGTTTGCGATTTTAGCCTTTGCAAACCATTTACATGCACTTAAACCTTTATAACACACTACAGGAAAGGGACAACCCGAAAAAGCATAACAGGGCCGCTTTAAAAGTCAGTCAGAGTGATGGCAACTTAAGAACATGAGTTTGTTGGCAATTATTCAAAATGGTTGCCAATGGCATCCTGTTAACCGAGCTCAGGCTTCTTATTTCTTGCACCTCCAAGATCAAATGGCAACATATAAAGTGACAGATGATCTCTGGGTGGAGTTATAAAAAGGTTAAGGTAATAAAAGCAGGTCAGATCTGTCACTGTGTTGACAGAGAGTCATTATCATACCTGAGTGAAATATGTGCGAGAGGAGTTGGAGCCAAGGAGTTTGCTCTCGATGTGCTTCTGGACGCTCTCTATGATGCTGTCTTCGTGCAGGAAGTGCACCTCGTGTTTTGTGGGATGGACATTCACGTCTACGTTGTGCGGAGCGATCTCCAAGCTGCAGGGATCAGAACGCACTATTGAATGTCAATTTCATTCACCCACGATAAAAAGCCTTGCAGAAAACAAACACATTAGGTCACCTGAGGTAAAGAAAGGGGTGTGTGTTCTTGGGAAGGTAAGCAGCATAAACTGTCTCGATGGCCTTCTTCAAAGCAGCGGACTCCACCAGGCGATCTGTTACGTCACAGATCACAATCTCCATTCAACACATTCTTAATAAGTTTAAATCATCTTTGCAGGCGAGACACTTTTCCAGGGATACGTACGGTTGATGAACAGGACCAGGATGCATTTTTTCATGGAGTAATTTGCGTTAGAGATGTGTCCTTTCATCTTATAGGCGAGCTTCTGATCCTCACAGCCGACTTCGATCAGCTCCCTGGGAACATGCCACACAGCCGCTCATGCAGTCAGCGTTAAGGCGAATAAGAAGTCATGTAACTACAGAGAGCATCTAAGCATTTTAAAATAAATACCTGCTGACTGCATTGCCAAAAACTCCTCGAATATTATCCACTACAGAGGCGTTGGGTAGGGTCCTCACATCCGCCACCGTCTCTCCTTGCTGGAAAAACATAACATAACAATTATTGTACTAACAAAGAATATGTATTTGTTGTCAGTGCAGCATCCATACTAATACAGAATTTATTTTGAGTTTTTTGCTCAGGAATTGTTACAAAAAGAAATAAATCTCACCTTTTTGACGGAGAAACTCTTCCCTGAATTGTGTATGGCATACCTATACAAAGGATTTGATATGAGAATGATCAAAACACAACGAAAAACATAAAAACAGCATGAATCACAAGAAAGTAAGAGTAAGATGGCAGACCTGCTGACCACTTCCACAATCCGTGAGTACTCATCTCCGGGGCTTTTTAAAGCTTTCCTCCGGGTGGACACGTTATAGAAGAGGTCCTCCAACTGCAGGCAGGGGGGGGCACATTATTGAAGGTCACGAAACATCCACGTACTACATTCTGTTAGTTTAAGAGCTCCATGGACTCACAAGAATCTGTGTGCCCTGGTTTCCAGCACATGGTTTGGGAGGGCCTTTCAGTTTGCCATCGCTGTAGTTGGCTCTGCAAAGAAATCCATACATCAAGAGAGGTCTGAAATCCTTTATGTCCAGTGGTGTAGTGGTCATTGGACGCGGGGGATCGCCGTTCCCCCACTTATTTGGAGCCCCCGCTTTTTTGAAGCATGATTTTTTTGGAATATTCTAATAAATATAAAATCATTGCCAGTGTTATCAGTTGCAATAATGACGAAAACATAATACATTTCACAGTAATTATAATAAAAAATAAAAACGATGTATATGTCGTAGCCGCTACATTGTACTGCCATGTGGTTAATGCTTGTATATGCTGCTCATGCTCTTTCTGCACATCATGTATTTATTTTTGCTATGTATATAAATGTCATGTTCTTAAATGTTGTATGTGAGGGGCTACGGATGGAAATGAGCTCAAAGCTAAAATCCGGCATTGTTTACGTTTTAAAGCATTATTTGTTTTAAATGTTCATCAATTGTCCCTCTTCAAATAAACGATTAAATTAAATGAACATTTCCTTAAAAAATTATGATTCGTCATCACGCTCGTGACCCCAGGGTGACACCACCAGCTCGCCGCCCGCCGATTTTGCAGCAGCTCTTTCCCTCAAGAACGCAAACGAAACAGCTCTATAATGGCAGGCAAAAAAACGTTACTTGACTTATTTTCTAAAAAGAATATCATTGTTTGTAGCCTTTATTTAACCAGGTGAAAGCCCCTCTTTTTCAAGGCTGACCTGCAGAGAAGAAAGAGGCTAGCAGCACCGAAGCTACAAGTGAAGCTGCTACTAGTACTACATCATCAGAAGGGCCGCCTACTGCAACTTAGGCCTATAAATTGTTTATGTAACTTATGTGCCAGTGTGTCCATGGTTTTCAGTCTGTGTGTGTGTTGAGCGCAGCGCCGTCTGCTTTTTGCAGTACAGTAACTAAAGTAGGACTAAGCATACCGGTAATTTCTGTAGAACTGTCCCGTTTTGTGAGTGCACTGCGCGCGTGCACACTTGTGGCATTGTTTGGGATGACCTCATTAAAATAGCGTCCACCCAGTAAAAAAATCCCCACTACACCACTGTTTATGTCTGTTATGAACCATTTAAAATAAGCATACCTGTAGGCACACTTGGCATCAGCTGTCTTCGTTGTTATGGTCACATGGGCAACATGGCTCACACTAGCAAGGGCCTGCAAAACAAAACAGACAACAACACATTGATACATACTGAATTTATAAATATCTTACAGCCTTAAGGGGGGTTCTGCTGCAGATTTACCTCTCCTCTGAATCCATAGGTGGTTATAGCTGATAGGTCCTCAAATGTCTGCAGCTTGCTGGTGGTAAACCTCTCACAAACTATTTCCATATCTTCTCTCTGCATCGGAAATAAAAAAAACAGCTCGGTAAGAGGAAACTACAGGATAAAAAGTCAGGGACACAGTTTTACAGAACTCACACAGTGGGCGAGGGAAAACAAGACACTGAATCCAAATCCAAACTGACAGGGGTCATTCAACACTGACTCACCGAGACCTCACAGGTCATGTGCATGCCCGGCGCCGTGGGAGGGCCAGGCCCTCCCATTTGACATTCCTGCCCTCCCCCAATAAACACGATTTTATTATTTATAAAAATTAAAAAAATATTTTTATTTTTATTTTTTTAATTATAAATAAACTGTGAACTTTTATGCTACGATGTATGTGATGTCAGATAGTAGGCTACTAAAACAAAAAAATCGCAGGCTACGTCAAATAAAGGCATGTGTCTGTTGTGATTTGTGATTTGTCCACATGTAGACCAATCACAGCGTCACACTCTGCCGCCTATTCTGGATTTGTTTATTGTGCATTCTGTAGACTCCCATTTCTGTTTGAATTACAAAATGGACATCAGAAATTGGCTCAAAAGGTCTAAAGATTTATTAAAACGAAATAGCGATGAAAGAACTGCAGCCGATGGACCATCGGCTGCAGTTCTTTCATCGCTATTTGCTATTTGCTGCTGCAACGGCAGGTGCAGGGTCGCCAGCAGCACCATCGCCGATGGTGCTGCTGGCGACCCTGCACCTGCCGATGCAGCAGCACGCTTGACCTCGGCAAACCCCGGGGCTGAGTTAGCGAGCCCAAGCCTTGACTCATCAAGGCGGCCGCCACCAACGCTGTCCTCTGAGGCACAGCTCCTTGTTGCCCCTACCGTCACCACCTGCGTTGCCACACCCTGCACCACACCCGCCAGCATCCTCCTCCTCAGTGCCGGTGCCTCCACTACAGACGCTACCTTGCAGCACATCAACAGGTACTATTGGGCCAGCAACCGCTCAAAGACCAACAGCCCCAGATGATCTTGGGGTTAATAAACCCAACCAGGTGAAACTGGATCGTTATCCAGGGAGATTGTTTTCAGGAAAGAAGCGCACTTTTGCCGCTGCATGGTACAACAACAGACCATGGCTTGAATATTCGTTAAGCAGACGCAGCCTTTTGTTTCCCCTGTAGACAGTTTAAAGTGAATACGTCTTCATCTGATGCGGCTTTTACTGTCAAATGTTTTTGCGACTGGAAACACGCATTACAGACTGATAAAGGACTGCTAAGGCATGCCGCATCAAAAGAACACATTTCATGTGAGAGTTTGTGGAGAGAGAGACAGATACGCAAGGAAACAAATAAGGAAATAAGTACTTTGGTTCAGATCAGCTGGCACGGAGCTGTTATTACGTGTCAGCTGTTGTTGATATTATAGCTTTTTTAGCTGTCAACCAACTCCCTCTCAGAGGTGACTCGATTCACTCCACAGCATGTCCGAGTGCAGTGCATAGGAGAATAAACCATGCCCAAGGCGGGCTAAACAGCTCATCGTCTCCGTCTCTATTTCTCTCCGAGTGCAGCGATGAGGAAGCTGCCATCCTTAACCAGTGTGCCTTGCTCGTGATTTACCAGTGTTTGTGCTGCCACGCACACAATGTTTCAAAGTGGTTTCTATGTTGCCCTTTATTTGTGTATGTATTTACGATAAGTGTGCGTCTTTACACGATGCTGTTGGCCTTGCTGTTTGATATATATTGTGCCGCAGGCCCGCAGCACGTGACTCTTTTGTGTGCCCTCCCATGAAAATCATATGCCCTCCCTTTAGATTTGTTCTGGCGCCGGGTCTGGTCATGTGGTGGATTTTCTCAAAAATAATGTATGTGAAATATTTATATTAAATTCATGGGACCTTGTAAAATCATAAAGCTGCACTCCATTCACTTTTTAGTTGTGAAGTTTTGGAGGTTTTTGTATTCCAAGCCTCACCAATTTCTTATTTTTCACACGATTTGCTTACGAGCTGTATGGAACATCCATGAAACCCTAGGGATAATCTGAAACAGGTGTTCATGTCAATATTTGTTGCTGAGTATTGACAGTACTTCAATTAATAAAACATATTTTCTTTATATGAAAAAATAATTTTTCAATTAAAACATTATTTACACTAGTTTCTTTTTTTACAACTACATTTATAATATGTGGCATAATAAAGTAAAGCTATCACATCTAAACAAAAAATCGGAAATGCATTAATAATCGAGTGCCACAGACATTGCTAAATAATCTTCCGAAGTTACAAGACTTAAAGATATTTAAGGTGTGTGTGAAACAAATTTGGGTAATTCTTTGAAACGAGGAAGTGCTATTATTCTTTACATTTTCAAAAAAAAGAAATGTTAAATAGGGCTAGCATATTTCATACTATTCACTGCCTTTGATATAACTAAGTAAGAGGATCCTTTTTTTAAGTGGTTTTATTTCATAGGTTGATATTTGCGCAGTGCTAACTTCATGGTTTTCCATCTCTGTTTAATACTGAGCCAGTTGTCTGCTCTCATCTTAAAAGATCACACTTTTCATAAAAATCTACCACTTGTACATTCAATTTGCAAACCATTTTTTGCCACCACCCAAGCAGAGGTGTTTCTTCTTCACCCACCCTGATGCCAGTTCCGTTGTCCTGAATCTGAAGGAGCTTCAGGCCGCCGTCTTTCACTGTCACCTGAATGTTGGTGGACTTGGCATCCAAACTTGCAACATGCAAAATAAAAGAGTGTTATTAAATAAACAGATATCTAACATGTTCAGTGGAATTATCTAGTCAGCAGGTTCACGTGGCTGTCGCTATGTTACTGGTGTGTTGATAAGCAGATTTGCTGAAAACGTGATGTAAACAATGGTGGCTTCTGCCATATTTTGTCCCTTTCTTTTCCCCACAAGTCAAAAGGCTAACATTAGGCACTTTATCAAAAATAACTGGATAGTTTAGGTTAACTGTTAGACAGTCAGTTACCAGTTCTCAATCAGTTCTTTGACGGCGTTGGCAGGACGCTGGATAACTTCTCCGGCTGCTATCCGGTTGACAACAGCCTCGTCGAGCCTCCGGATAACACCTGCCATGTTCACAGTGCTGCCGACTAACTTCAGGGTGAGTTAAACAGCAGGTAAACGCTGGGAATAACTTTACATGTGCATACAAATGTATATATTTAGGCTTACATTTAGAATTTCATCTCTGTAAGAAAAATAGCATGCATGGGACCAGAGAGGCGAAAATAGGAAGAGGTCTTACTCTGCTCCAAATATCAGTGAAACAGTGAAAGTCATCATGTAAACGCTTAACTTTCTGAATTATAACACAAATTGTAGAGTTATGGAAAAGGTTAAATTGAGTAATTTACCCTTAAAAAAAGGTGAAATAAAACTAAGTGTATTCATTTATGTAATGTAATGTTGATTAACAAAGATGTTTCAGCTACCACTCTTTGGTGTTCAAGTGAGTTATCTTCTTAATTATATATGATCTTTGATGATTCTGCGCGGGGAGGCAGCATGTGGGCGGGGCCGGTTAAAAGTCTTCTTCTCTGGTAGATATTTTTGGAACTTCTAAGCTTTGACATTTTCACAGCGCCAGATGATGGTTAATAACAATAATGTGTTTTGTCTTCTTAGACACATCTAAAGTAAGTCGTTTGCCTACAGAAAAAAAGATTACATTTTCCTCAATATAGTCTCTTTAAAAATATTTCTGTGTACACAATTTAATATACATTACATTTTAAGCATAAGCTTGCCATTTCTGCTGTAGTATCACAAATTACGTTTTTTTGTTTTGTTTCTGGTTTGTTTACCACGTCGTTTTATTTTCTTATTGATCTCTTTAAACTGATAAAACACTGATCACACAGATACGTGTTTGTGTCTCTGGCATGTCCAACTCTGGAATGAAGTGGCTACTATTAATACATCTATATGCAGATTAGGGCTGCACGGTATTGAAAAAAACTGACATCGCGGTTTTTTCCCCCCCTGCGGTATATATTGCGGTTTTTTTAACCTGTTAAACCCCAAAGTCCCGGCGGGTACTTTTTTTTTCACGACAGTGTCTCAGGGGATCGTAATATTTAAGAATCTATTAATGTGTTATACCAGATTAACGGAAATAATCTCAGCTAATTGACGATACAAACCATTTTATACCAAAACAAAACACAAGTCTCATAAGAAGCATCTAAATGACCCCTGAGCGAAAAATGCTAACGCACTTTGGCACAGAACTCAAGATAAAAGTACCCTTATTATTACTTATCGTAGCTGCACTCAGGGCCGTATCCACCATTGAGGTCACCGAGGTCCGGACCTCGGTAATTATTTCCGAGCTGCGTATACAAAAACGTGTGAAATAACGGCACTAAACGGGGTTCTTTGTAGTACTTCCATTTACTGACAATGTGGGCGCTGCATAAGTACGTAGCCTCGATTAAAGCAAACAGAAGAAGACGACATGTATCGTATCAACAAACTACCGCAGCCCGGACTTGTATCGTAGCAGCGGAGGAGTGATGTGGTATCTAGAGATCTGAGTCCAGCGGGCTACTTGTGTTACCTGTTCATCAGGACATCATATGACCAGCAGATCCTGTGTGAACGCTCTACGTTAGTCAGTGGACGTCCGACAACATGCACACTAACTTATGTTGCAGCTATAGGCTATACTTTGGTTTAAATTGCGTGCATAAACTAGTTAGAGAGCTAAAGTTAATTACATTCATCCAATGTCAGAAGGATTACCTTTTAACAAACATTGTAATGCTTTTATTTCATTTCAATTTGATTAAAACATTGAAGATATAACATTGTATTGTTTTCTTTTTACACTGACTCAGATATAATGAAAAGACTACGTCAGTCGAAGCTCAGCTTTGATAAGGAAGAGACAGGACAGGCAGAGAGAAAGAGAGAGAGAGAGAAAGTGATGGAAGTCAGGGAGGAACTGCAGGTACAGTCACACACAACAATGTAGGCTTAATAACCCCATCTATTTATCTATCTATCTTCATTTACAATATAGACAATAGGCATACTTTTAACAACATACATCTATTGCAGTTATGATGTCATAATAACATACAATTGTATAAAACACATTTTGCTTACATCTTTGTTCTCTTTTGTGAATCAAACAAAACATATTTTTATTTAAAAAATAATGCAAACAAGTGAAATGAACTAAATTGCTGAATTGCTTTTAATTCACTGGCAGGAGCGACAAGTGAGGAGGAGCAAAAAGTGAACAACGAGGGAGAGATTGAACAAAGAGAAAGAGTAGGACAGAGAGAGTAATGAACAGGAAGAAGACAGAGAGACTCAAGAAGATGGAAGAGAGGCTGCAGGTTATGGAAAGGAGAGAGACATGGGAAATGAATGTTGACAATGTTTTGTGATCATTTTAGCCTCTTCTGCATGTCCAGATCATTAATAGTAACAATCAACTGATTGTTGTGCATTACACTGTTACGTCCCCACTAAGGTCTAGGGGACCTGGAGACAATAACATACAACCAATAATTAATGAGGGAGTCAGCGTAACAGTTTACAAAAGGTTTATTTTCTTAACCCAGAACCGAACAGACATGTAACTGAAACCTTAGTTGGTGAGGAGGAGGAGGAGTCAAAGGATTGCGCCAAACAAAAGAAACAAGCATAACAAAACCAGGCCTATCTCTACATCTATCCTTTGAAACCAAAACTCAAACAAAAACCCTCACTAACTAAACTACAAAGACTTTGACAAAACAATATACAGGGGTGGCAACAATCCGCTAACCTAGTGTGTCTAAACATTAGTTAGCTACGTGGCGAGAAATGTACAGGGTACCCCAGACTTACCTAACTCCTCCACCTCTCAACACACTTTCAATAAGGTCAGACAATACAAAGAAATTTAGTGGCTAAATACTGCAGGCTCCTTCATCAGCAACAGGCCCAGAGTGAGAGCGAGAAGACTTCCTGGGTGCCTCCTTTATGGTCGGCCCTGGCTGCTGATAGACCAGCTGAGGGTGAGAGGATCCAATCAGCCATCAGACTCAGGTGCACAGGCAGATACCGATCAGCTGCTGATTAGCTGTGCAGAAGACAGGGAGAAGAGAGAAACACAGGAGGGAAGGAAAACCACACCAGTACAGCCTGCCTGGCACGTAACATACACTTTCAAAAATAATTGATGCTGCAGCCCACTGACATGGTTTGAAATCAATATATTATCCAATTTGTGACCCCCCCCCCCCGGAACTTAAAAAGCACCTAACTAGATCATGAAAATCCCAAAAATCACGGGGGAGCAGTGTTCGAATTACCCATTTGCTTTCGGGGGAGCCCTATTTTTCAGTGCACATCCTGCTACTAAATATATCACACGCACACTCTGTTGACTAGCGCAGCAGCGCGGATTCGATCAATTGTTATAAAATCACTCTGCTACTACAGACGGTGTCACTACGCCGGCAGCTGTGGCCGTTGTTGAAGCCTCTTCAGGCTCCGCATCGGCAGGCCTCTCCCTCGGTGTGGAGCTATCAAACTCGACCCTAACGCCGCTGACAGCCGGCCAACTAAAAGTTGTTCCGTTCACGTTGTCATTTTTAGACTCCTTCGCTTCTTTGCTTGTGAATCCAAAAGCTGCGACGCTTGGCTGTTTTCGTTTTGCCATATTTTTTATTACAAAGCCAGAGTTAAAAAAATATCAACATGAACATTTCAAATACTGCGCCGGCATTGCTACCGTAACCATAGCAACATAAGTAGCGTAAAGAATGCAGCGCCACCGCGTACAGATGGCAACACCCAGAAATATTCACAAATATAAAACAAATCAGAAACTGTAATGAACAATGACTATTATTTATTACAAGAACTGTTATTTACAGAAACTCAACATTTCTAATCTGTGTGAAACAAATATGCACGATTATTTTGGGCTCCCCCTATTTATCTCAAAGTCGGCCTTCAGGGGAGCTCCCTCCCTCTTCGGGGGAGCCAAGCTCCCCCTGGCTCCCCCCCATTTCGAACAGTGCGGGGGAGGATACCCCCGAACCCCCCTAGCATGTTTGGACCTCGGTATTTAGCAAATCCTGGATACGGCCCTGGCTGTACTTACAAGATATCCAATTAAAACTGAGGTTCCACAGATTATTTAGGTATATAGTATCATCACTGAGTGATCTGAACTCGGACAGGGGAAGCAAACACAGACATCACAACACGTACCTTTACGTAGCTTCGAGGGGAGATGTCTCACCGTAGCTGTCAATCTGAGCAAAAGACGTGTTCAATGGCATTAAAACGAGAAAGAAAAAACGCGGCTGAATCGGTTAATCCATAGGTTTTTAACGTCTCTGTATAAAAAAAATGATTTAATTTATAATCCATAATTCCATTTTTATGTAAATATCGCAGAGCAAAAGTTAGCTGCTAATGGTAGCCACCATAGTGGCTGCTGCTTCCGGTCTTGGCGATGCGGAAGTCTCTCACACACACATTACCAAATAAGGACTGTGTGATTTCCCCTCGATTCCATTGGCTCTGACGGTCAGAAAGAGATGTCACATGTCAAAATCCAGCAAGGTGGGCCAGAGATATGGAAAATCCACCCAAATGGCCCCAAAAGAGGTTTTTTTGTGTGCTAAATCTGTCTAAAAAGGTCAAATATCAGGGGAAGTTCTACACACACCAACACATGAACAAATAAGGAGTGAGAGTGACGACGCGTAACCAAAACCGGAAGCTGCATACCACCAGGGTGGATACCATTAGCAGCTACCTTTTGTGATCCGATTTTTACATAAAAATTGAATTATGGATTATAAACAATTGCTTCAAAGCCACAGATACATTATCAACCTATGGATCAACCGATTCAGCCGCGTTTTTTCTTTCTCGTTTTAATGCCATTGAACACGTCTTTTGATCAGATTGACAGCTACGGTGAGACGATCTCCCGTAAAAGCTCCGTAAAAGGTACGTGTTGTGATGTCTGTGTTTGCTTCCCCTGTTGCGAGATCGGATCGCTTAGATACTATACTTAAATAATCTGTGGAGTCTCAGCTTTAATCGGATATATTGTATGTGCAGTTTCGATAAGTAATAAGGGTATCTTTATTTTTGAATTCTGTGCTAAAGTGCGTCAGCATTTTTTTTTTTTTAAATGAATAAAACCGCACGTCCCTGAGGTGTGAATACCGCGCATGCGCATACCGCGGTTATCGCCATGACAC